ATAAATAAACAAAAATTTCCTGTTTCTCCATCCCTTTAAAAAGCTAAGCGCATACTAACACCAAATCATCGCTAAAAACCCATTTTCAGTCAAGGGTCAGTGAATCGAAGATGAACCATACTTGTATGAGACAACCCAAACCAAAGAAATACTGTAGTACAGAATAAAAACAACATTGACCAAAACACGAGGAACCATCGATTTTTCGAGATCTATTAAAAGAAAAGTTAAACTTTTTAAATGGAATTACACTAGACACTATTCTACTTAATGATTTAAACTGGATGAGGACACACAGTGTATTATTTTAAATACCGTTAACTTCTACATAAGTGAAACTAGGAGATTTGAAAACTAGCAACACATATATTGTTATTTTCATGAATAACTGTCAGTCACTACCACTCCTTCTGACTTGGGCTACTATCACCTCCTTATTTTTTTGCTTTTATATTTTTTTCTTTTTTGGTCCATTCCTATCATGCTATTAATCTATACTTTAGCTTACATACTCCATGCTCCAATATTGTTAAAGCTAGGCCTGTAATGATTTTATCTCAGGCCTTATTTACAAAGAATCAATAAAGATATAAACAAAGGATTCGGATATTCAGAATCAGGGCAATAGACTACAGACACACATATATGTTTCGTGAAAAAAAAACAGCTCTGCTAATTTATTTAATATTACTATCACAATAACCTTTCAAAACCTATTAATGTTACATATAGTGGTGCTTTGTCTACGATTTCGTGTAGCAACAGTGAATCAAGCATATTACATAATGAAACAGTGTTTCAGACCCATTTACTCCCGTTTTGGAGGAAGTCATGGGCCCTTTACTCCCAATTTTGGAGAAACTCGGAGAGTGATTTACTCCGATTTTGAACAAAATCAAGAACGGTTTACTCGTAATTTGAGAAAAGATAAGAATGATTTACTCTGAATTTCGGAGAAACCTGAGGGATGATTTACGCCGATTTTGGTTTTTTCGACTGCAGACAGACATATATGTTTCGTGAAAAACAACAACTCTGCTAATTTATTTAATATTACTATCACAATAACCTTTCAAAACCTATTAATGTTACATATAGTGGTGCTTTGTCTACGATTTCGTGTAGCAACAGTGACTCAGGCATATTACATAATGAAACACAACTAATTTATGCATGCAAAATATCCAGTGGACAAACAATTCCAGCTAGTAGTAGTCTCTATGGAGCACAAATTTAATCTATTTTATTTGGCATCAATCAAACGGTAAGTGTCGATATTTTACGGTGAGAGCTACAACAGTTGGTGTAGAAACAAGTTCGTTTTGGAGACAATTTTAAATGAATGAAAAGCTTTATATTCTTGTCATTTATTTGTGTTCACATATCTTTTTATCGTTGTATGACAAAGAAATAAAAGCAGAAAAATGCTGATAAATTCCGGTTTTTAATATATGATTTTATCAGTACGACAATACTACATAATTATAGAGTTTTCCAAGGCGCACATTTTCATATATTTGATATCATCAATAACTAGAAACTTACAAATATATTTCATATCAAAATTTGATGTTTTTTTTCCTAAAGGAGAATACCTCGAGATTTTTACAACATCGGAATCCGAGCGATCAGTTACTTTGTACTTCACAAAGTTCTCCTATCGACCCCTCGAAGTTTTTGAACCCTACGGCTCCACTAGAGGATTTTATGGTATAGCACAGTATATTCAACGATGGGCTTCAAACATATTGCCGCCATTTTAAACTAATCCAATATTATTGTATGTAGCGGCTAATGATGGATGATTTAATGGTAATGAGTTCGATTGAATTTCTAGTGCCTTTTCATAATATTCTAAGGCTTTACCGTATTCACCTTTCTCATCACAAACTAATCCAACATTGTTATATGTAATGGCTAGTGGCGAGTGGTTTGATGGTAATGAATTCGATTGAATTTGTAGTGCTTTTTCATAATAGTCTAATGCTTTATCGTATCCACTTTTCCCATAATAAACTAATCCAACATTATTATATGTGTTGGCTACTGATGAATGGTTTGATGGTAATGAGTTCGATTGAATTTGTAGTGCCTTTTCATAATATTCTAAGGCTTTACCGTATTCACCTTTCCCATCACAAACTAATCCAACATTATTATATGTAATGGCTAGTGACGGGTGGTTTGATGGTAATGAATTCGATTGAATTTCTAATGCCTTTTCATGGTAGTGTAAGGCCTTATCGTATTCACCTTTCTGATCACAAACTAATCTGATATTAATATATGTAGTGGCCAACGATGAATGATTTGATGGCAATGAATTGGATTCAATTTGTAACGCTTTTTCATGATATGCTAAGGCCTTGTCGTATTCGTCTTTGGCTTGGAAGACTAGTCCGATGTTATGATAGTTTCGTGGAAGATCGGGGTGTGTCGGCTGATTGTGTTGAATTAGGCTTGTGAAATATTGTTGAGCGTGTTGATACTTGCCCATCAGTCTCGTGAGTGCACCCAGGGCGTGTAGGTTTAGCATTTCGCCGAGTTCTAGTCGAAAGTGGTCTTTTAAATGTGTCAGCTGTTCATCTTCTGCTGTAGTCAATGTTAATGTTACCTTCCAATCTGGGTTACGTAACTTAGTAATTGATTCAATTCGAAAGATAGTTGCTATAGAGAAAAGGACTTCATCTTCTTCATTATACATGCTTAGTTTTTTAATGTTACGAAATGGTTTTGTGTCTGAGCTATAGTCAGCATTTATTTCAAAAAGAACAGATTGAATATCCGATCGATTTGTGACAAACATTAGTGCTACTTTTGGATTGATACTAGTTGACAGAAAGCTATTGAATGATAAAAGCCCCCCAAGATTATTCTGGATTTTTTTCCCGAGCTCATGTATATGTATGCCCTGACCGCGAAACACAGTCAGTTTTTTTTGTTTACTGTAGTTATTTTTTGTTGGTAAGGATTGAACAAACTCTGAGTGTAACTGTTTTATTTGATTATGGAGATCACTTAAGAAGAAACGATATTTAAATAGAATATCAATGTCATCAAGTCGAAGTGCTTTATTCAATATTTCATATAAAAAGCAATGTTGTGTGTACCACCATATTGCTTTATTTGGACTATAAGTCTTATCAAACTCGTCTGTATGATTTAAAGCTATGTCATTACCAATATATTGTAATCGGCATTGTTTAAGCATATCTGTTTTTGCATCATCTGTATGTCCCATTTCAGTTAAGATTTCAGTTAACAATTGAAAGTACATAAATGAAGCTTCTTGTTTATTTATTTCTTTTTCTTTTATGTTTGTAGAAATAATATCCATGGATAATAACTGATGTGAGCTTGTAACAATATCTTTACTTAATTGCTCACAAATATCATTCATATTAGTATATGTACCACGCACTATTTCATAACTCATTGCCCATTGTTTATGTTTTTCGATGTCAAAACAGTATACATAAATAAATTGAATTTGTGGCATTCGATGAGCATGTGGTATTATATCTTTACTAATTGAACCTGATACAATTAAAAATACTTTTTCATTTTGAACATTGGCTATGTAGTCATAACAGTCACAAACATCATCAAATATATTTAGATAATTAATAGTAGCACGTAGTAGAGCTATGGTTTGTAAATTATCATCCGTTTTATTGATATTATCATTAAGCCAAAAGATTTGAAAGTTTTCTAAGTTTTGTTGTTCAATAATCGTTGTCCGATAAATTGAAGTTTGCACACGATCTATTGTTGTTTGTGAGATGGATACGTTGATTGGTGATTTTGAATCCATTTTTGTACTTATTGAGTATGTGATTTATGCCTAATTTTATGTAAGTTCTAAGCAAAGGAGAACACATAGCTGGTTAAGGAATTTTGTATATTTTCTATACGAGACTTCATTTAACTATTGTTGTGAAAGATTAATGAGATTTGTAGAACTAGGCTAATATCACTTGGATGAAGTGAGCCGTATATTCGAGTATTTTGACCTTATATTCGTTTCCACGGCTATGCCAATTCTAGACCTGATTGTTCAGGTCGATTTCAACGAGCTCTATCTAACCATATATCGTCCATTAAAGTTTGATAGACTAGAAATATTTCAGAGATAATTTATGAATTTTTCGGACATAAAATGGAAAATTTAGTAAGGTTCCGAAAATTCAGAATTCGAGCGCTTTTTCTTTTCTCGATTTTATTACATGATTAGATGCCTCACGATGTTCTGATTCTAATCATGTATAATTTATTTGGAAAAAATTCTTTTTTCAGATCAGAACACGCAAAAAACTGAAAAAGCCTGAAGGTTCAAAAAAGATAGCTTTTGGAAGAAAAGAGCATGTAGGTTTTTCACGAAAGGAGATGAAGTTCTAGGAAAATTATTTTCAAAATCTTCATCGAAAACGGATTTAGAATAGGACCATAATATAGTTATTAATCTTTCATCAAAAAATCTAACAAAAGATCAGTACGATACACTTGCTTTTGGTTTACAATACGTATTTCCGCCGACCTCTTTAGTTCATATTCAATTAATAGCCGACATCGAACTTCTCTATGCAAGATTATACAAAATTCAACCACAATGTGACGAATGGGAAACAATTATAGAGCCGCCCCCATTACAATTAAATAATCAACAGCTTCGATCTGCAGCAAAATTTCGAGCCTTATGCGATAATTTCCGACATCATACTACAAAAAATCTCAAAAAACCAGACAACAACATTCGAAAATATATTGCTGCACTAAAAACATTAGCAAATGACCATACAATAGTGATTACCAAACCAGACAAATCTAAAGGAGTTGTTATCATGGACAAGGTCGACTATATTAACAAAATGAACAATATACTATCAGATTCAACAAAATTCAGAAAATTAGATCATGATCCCACAATACAAAAAGAAGATAAATTAACACGTTACTTATTAAAGCTACATAAAGAAGGATTAATTAGTGAATCTGATTACAAAGCAGCAAGACCATGTGGTTCA